CTCTCCGGTGAGTGTGAGGCTGCCACTTGGAGGTGGAATCTGATTTTCCACCCTGGTCCCCTCACTCTCTGCAGCTTGTAAAGTGCTTTTATTGGCCCTGGAAAACATTCTGCTTCCTTGAGCAAATGTGTCCAGAATTTTTCATGAAGTCACATTATTTTCTGCTTTGGCCGGCTTTCCCTTTTGGGCCACAGTCAGGGAGAAGGTCAGTTGAGGTGAGGCAAGTTTTGAGGATGGCCTTAGACATGGACGGTTGGGACTCTAAACAGCATCATTGTTAATTTGTCTGGCACTGGGGGCCCATCAGGGACAGGAGCAAATAGAGGGACGTTTTCTGCAAAAGGATTTTGCTGTCACCCTCCCCAGCAGCAGGAACTGCGTGTTTAGAGAGAGTCCTGTGTCCACCCTGGGGCAGCAAACCCCTCCTACCTCCCAATACACACCTGCACCAGTGTGAACCATGAGTGAGTCCACCCCTGGACTAACGTATAGATGTTCCCTTAACTCTCTCTCCCTGCATCTTTGGAGGCGGGTAGCCATAGAGGGGCTACAACCTGCCCACTCTTAGCACCACCTCTTGCTGCCCTCCTCCTCCTCCTCCTCCACTTCCTCCTCCTCCTCCTCCCCCCCCTCCTCTGCATCTGCCTCCGCCTTCTTCTCCTCAGATCGGGTCCTGTCCTAGTTTCTGTTTCACAGTATCCATCCTCCCCTGGCTCCTTCATGAGCCCCTCCAACTGCCACCCAGCATTCTTCTCACTCTCCACCGGGGGTCAGGAGCCACAAAAGCCAGTGAGTGGTGCCAGCTGGGTATGAGGTGACAGGGAGTGTTGGGGCAGGTGCCCCTTTGGGGGTTGGATGCCCCATCGAAAGCAGCAACCACTGCTCCCCTCAAGGCCATTTTTATGCAGGAGGAGTGCAGACCCGGTGTTCCAGACTATCCCGTTTTCCAAGAGAAATTGGAAAACCTGACTTTCATGTGAAATGGCATTTCTCGGTTTTTAAATTGTTGACAGGTAATTAAAATGACTTTAAAACACACTATGTTAAAATGTGTGTTATGTTAAAAGTGTGTGCTATGTTAAAACATACCAGATAGAATGTGTCTGAGGCCTGGGGCTGGCCTCTTGGTTCTGTTCTTTCATTCATCTTCTCTTCTCTTCTCTTCTCTTCTCTTCCCTTCCCTTCCCTTCCCTTCCCTTCCCTTCCCTTCCCTTCCCTTCCCTTCCCTTCCCTTCCCTTCCCTTCTCTTCTCTTCTCTCTTTCTTCCTTCCCCCACCCCCTTTCCTCCCTCCCTCCCCTCTCCCCTCCCTGTCCTCCTTTCCCCTCTCTTCCCGTCTTCCACTCTCTCCTTCTCCCTCTTCTCTTCCCTCTTTCTTCCTCCCCTCTTTCCTTCTCCCTCTCTCTCTCTGTCCTTCCTCCACAATCTAACCTGCCCCCTCAGCTTCAGTTCTCACCCAAATGTCAATGTTTTTGAGAGTTAGATCGCAAACCCTGGTCTGCACCCCAGATTCACGTGGCTCTGCATCCCCCGTGGATGCCCACACACTTCAGATGCAAAACTGAGCCCACCAACCTCCCAGACTGTACAGTCTCAAGAAGTGTCAGTTGTTTTTGTCTTTGTTCTCTGACAGAAATACTGATACTGCTGTTAATACTAATATTGCAGATAATCACCTCCTGCTCCTCTTTTTGTTCCCTGCTTCTGTGATTCGACACCACTGCTCCATCAGACAGCCAGAGAGGCCCCTTTGATCTTGGACTCTACCCCTTGCCCCAGCTTCAAGCCGCCGTTGGTGGGTTGTGTTCATTCTTCCTCCTCCCAACTTGTCCTTCCAGTTAACTGGAAACTCTCATTATTTCTGGACTTGTCATGTCTTCCCAGCTGTTGTCTCAGTCTCATAATTGTCAACCCGCCACCACCTCTCACCTCCCCGTTTGGGATTTATTCATCACACTACAGCCAGAGTCATCTCTTAATTGCAAGGCGAGTCTTGTCACTCACCTCTTCATACATTTCTGGTGGGCCCCACTGGCCACCCTTCGGTTCCCCTGCAGTACCAGGCTATCTGCTCATCTGCCCATACACTGGGCACTTGCTTGCTTCCATGTGTGGTGTGGGCGTATCCTCAGGCAGGACTGCCTTCTTCATGCATACATTAATTCTGTTCATCCTCATCTCTCGTCAAGTGCCACCTCTTCTGTCAGACTGTCACTGGCCTTTTGACCACAGCCTCAACACTCTGTACCCAGTCCCTCTTCTGAGCTCCCACAGCACTTGGTCTGAGTCCCTTTTCATTTCATCCAGCTGTGCATTCTGAAGTTTGCTGGCCTCTTTCTTCTGATTTTTCATTTTTGTTTGAATCGGGGGCAACTCTGTTGTCCAGGCTGGGATCACGGCTCATGGCAGCCTCCACTTACTGGGGCTCAGGTGATCCTTCCACCTCAGCTGATCCTGAGTTTCTGGGACTATAGGCATGCACCATTACCAAAATTAGCCTGGCTAATGCTTTTTGTTAAATTTTTTGTAAAGATGAAGTTTTGCTATGTTGTTCCAGCTAGTTGCCTCTTCTCTTGATCAGCTCCTGGATGGAGAGACAGGGTCTCTGTTATCTGCCTATCCCCACAAAGCCTAGTGTACTGCCTGGCATGCTGTAGACACCCGATACATCTTTTTAAATAGAATTGAAAGTTGTTGCTTTCTTTTATAGGAAGATTGCTTCAGCTAAAGGGCTCAACCCAAGTATTAAAAATCAAAACAGGCCTCATGCGGTGGTGTTTCATGCCCATAATCCCAGCATTTTGGGAGGCTGAGGCAGGAGGATTGACTGAGGTCAGGAGTTTGAGACCAACATGGGCAACATAGCAAGATCCTGTCTCTACTAAAAAATAAAAACAAAGCTGCTTGGTTATTCAAAAGTATTCCTCAGGACCCCAAGAGAAAGTATCAAGCTAGTAAAAGGGTTATTCTGCCTGTGCCCAACTCCAGGGATGCAGGTTTTAGAGGAGGAGCAGCTGTAATTTGGTCTCCTTGTCCCCAGGTGAGGCCTCTTCCACAGTGTTCCATGGAAGCTTGGACTCAGGGCCAGGGAAGAATGGTCAGGGTCTCTTGGATACCGGGGCTTTTGTCATCCTGGCTTATAGAGTCCTGCACTGTTTCTCTTGCTCCAAAGAGCAAATTGTCCCCACATATTCACAGGATGTCCTCTGCTCGCATCACTGGCCTCCCTGGGAATTTCCCACAAGCCATCTGGGTCGATTCTGCCATCTTTGTCTCCTGAGTCTTTTGCAACATTGTTTTTTGTTAATTAGCTCTTAGAACAGCAACTGCTCCTACATCAGGACTTGTAGCCCATCAACTTTCCTAAGGAGAGAATCTACTCGTTTCTTTTTTGTAAATATTTTCTCCTTCCTTCCTGAGTTGCACAGGTTTAACCAGGTAGAGTCCAAGCAGTGTGAACTCCTAGCTCTTCCAGAACTGATTATTTATAAGATGCACATTTCCTAAACCCATGTGACTACAGTAAGTGCCACAAGTGGTGGCTGCTCTGATTGGATCTGTGTAGCTCTGAATGCTTCCTTTACTTTTGGGTCCCACCTCCAACCCAGAGCCACCTGTGGCCTTTAATCCTTGTCAATAGGAGAGAGGAAAAGCCATTAAACCTTGTCAATGTATCCTTTTTTTATTAACTCCCTTTGAAGCTTTTTTTTTTTAAGCGTTTTACAAGGTACATCCTGTCAGATTACTTAGGAACACTTGCAGCCTCCTTCTTCAACCTTATCATTTTCATTTGAATCAACACAGGCAGCTTTACAGCTTTGGACATCTGGCATGGCAGGGGTGGCCACCTGCAAACATACTTCTCCATGTCTGCACCTTCAACAAGACTTGTTTTTTTATTTGTGCTGTTAATTCAGCTCCAGGGCAATTTCTATAAGCACAGCACTTTTTTTTTCTTGTGTTCACAAATCAAACATGGATGCTGGGGCATGGACATCATAATTCTGTTGAAAGATAACTTGATTTAAGCAAAAACAAAACTTTTAATCCAAGGCAATTGTCTTTTGAAATGAGAAATTATCTTACACGTGTCTTTGAAATTAGGAACCACATTCTGGCCAGGAAAAGTGAAGGATCCTGTGCTCGTCCTTGGTCAGGAAGTGATCAAAACACCTCAACTGGCCATTTTGTGAAAGCAGACTTAGCCCAATACATTTTGATCGGAGCTCAGCACAAGGTGGTTTTCCAATGGATACCAATACAGAGAACTTATATGCACACATACTTAAATGTGTGGCAATGCTTGTTTTAGTTTGGGATCTATGTAGCCATGGATTCTCAGTCATTAAACCTATTTCAAAATGGTGGGCACTGGGGGAGCATCTTGAAGAAAACACTTCTCATCTAGAACTATGATATCTTTGCCTCAAAGTTGGGGGTCCAACTTTGTTTTTTCTCGAGCTAGAACACAGAACTCAGTTTTTCACTCTTGCTGCTTCTTCACACAAATCTTCAAAAATAACGACTCTTCTTCTTCTCCCTGTGATCTCGTCAGAGAGTGGGAATCCTGGCCAGCTGGTCAGGGCTCTCCGAAAAATGGCACAGCTGTTTCTGAAAGTAACCCCATTCATGGGATGCCTGCTGCCCACAAATGCAGTGTTGGAGAAAGGCACCCTGTTTTATAAAGAGCTTCTTTTCTTTAAAGAGGAAAGAAAAATACATGGTGTTTACAGAAAAGAAAAACTGGACTCTCCTGCTCCTTTTAGTGGCCATCTCTGAAATGGAAGTGGGCAAAGCCATAAATCCACACCAGCAGTCGTGCCTGTGAAGCATGATTCATCCTGACTGTGCTGCCTGTGGTGGAAAACCTGGCTTGTTAAGCAAGATCTGCCAGAAAGCCTCACACATTTTCTCCGCCAGAGCTGATGCCTACCATCTTGCACCATGCCTGTTGTATCTGAATGCGTGATTGACTCTCTCCCTCTCCCTCTATCTCTCTCAGTTCATGACCAAGAACCCTACTATGCGCTTGGGCAGCCTGACTCAGGGAGGTGAGCATGCCATCTTGAGACATCCTTTCTTTAAGGAAATCGACTGGGCCCAGCTGAACCATCGCCAACTAGAACCACCTTTCAGACCCAGAATCGTAAGTGTCCAAGGCCATCACAGTAGACTTGCCTCTTTCTTTAGATGTCACAGTGTTCCACCGAAGTCCACTGGGTAGCCGGATGGCCCCTGTGGTATGACCAACCGGAAGTTCAACCTAACCCTGCCCAGGGCAACTTCACGTGGGGGGATTCTGGGCTTCTTGCCCCTGAGACAACACCTCTCCATGTGCCCAGGTCACTTCTTACAAAGTTTTCACCCCTGGCTTGCTCTGAGACAACACCTCTCCATGTGCCCAGGTCACTTCTTACAAAGTTTTCACCCCTGGCTTGCACCCATCCTCCTTTAACCCATATTAAAATCTCATAGGGTCTGAGAAGCCTGAAACTTTCCAAGTTTCCCCCAAAAGAGTTCAGCTGATTGAGAAAGTTATTGTTCCTAGCCAACTTCCTAATGCTCCTTAGTCAAGGTAGCTTTTGTTCCCCCAAGAAAAGCAGAGAGGGTGTGAGATGTTACTTACTTCCCTTTCCCTA